ACCAATTATGGCATMACTCCATACTGAGGGGAATTCCCCATTTAGGACGACCTTGGCTTATTCTACAAATATCGATCACGTGAACATTTTTAAACTGCGTCATAAACTTAAACTAAAGTAATTACTTATAAAAATACAATAATAACGATATTTGAACATTTCACAATCATTCTGTAAATTCAATATTGATCTTAACCCTACAGCATAAACATTGCTGGACATTAAAGCTACTGGTAATTCAAAACTATTTTTCCTGGTAATCTAAAACTACARGTACATGACTTGRCATATTTCRATTTCTAKACCAAACTATAAAACTGCTGACGAATCACTTAAAACTAAAAATCTACTATTAACTTATTAACATTGTATAACTAAATGTCAGGGAGGCGTAGTCTAAAAATACTCTTTGTTTTGTATTGCCTTTTTCGAGTGTTATTCGAGTATTTGTTCACATGCCCATAAAAAATTTGTGTACTAGATAATCATTCTCTTCATATTGCTATTGGAGCTCCGCTATTGGGTGTTTAGGGGTTTTTTATATTAGACTCATTTATTTGGTTGTGTACATAGTCACGAGACAAAAGCTACCATCGACCCGCCCGTTATTCAGCGAAATATTCAACTCGACGGTTTACATAGTGCTTTGAGACAAAATCTTACCTTTAATAATCATAGAAGGGTCTTTATGCGCATGATAACCTAACAAATTAAAAACGTATATATAATGAGTGTATGAATTGACGACTATCAATCAATGCGATCATCATGTCTTTCGCTGTTCTTTAAAATCACCATGATGATGAAACAAATAGATTTGAACATTTAAACACTTATAGAGGCCTGTCAAGGGCGGATCCAGGGGGAGGGTCGGAGGACCCGCTGTTAAATCCAAGTTGCTATACCGTTTCTTGATCACTTGTTAAGTCCCGTTTACACTTGCAATTTTTGCAGAGCGATTCTCGCGGTGAGCATTGCGTGACCATCGCCTGTGTTTCAAACATGCTTGAAAACTTGCTGCAACTTCGCCGTAACAATCGCAGGGCTGTTTACATGTATGATTTCAGTTGAACGATAGCAAAGGGGCGATTGTCGCGCTGCAAAAAGCGCAAGTGTAAACGGGCCTTTATTATGAAGGTGTGATTCAACGAAGATAATTTAGTAGGAACGGAAATATTTGGTCTGGTTCAAATTCTTCTTCTGAAAAGAGATAATCTTGGTGAAATGAGAAGCAAGCTAGAGTTTTGGCAACATGTTTTACCATCACCTTTTTCGCTTCTTTTTGAGTTGAAGGAATGGCAACACCGTTCTGGAAACACATCGACCCAACTAAGTCAAAACCTGGAAATCCTCATCGAATGCTTGAAATTTGCTAATGAGGATATATCCCAATAAACGCACTCTTCTTAAAGTTGGAAGTACTACGTGTTAGCTCAGAGCGCTCATTTTCTGGTCTTTGAAGAATCAAATCATACTTAAGGAACAGGATGACTGACGAACGACTTTTAAGGCTTGCTTTATTGCATTTACACTGCACGATATATAGAAATTGATGTTGATGAGATCTGTAGAAGGTATATTACAGAAAACAAGAGGAGATTGTTTTCAAGTAACAACTAAATTATTAATTGGACTTCTTGTGGTAAAATACGACTGGGATTCCTGTGGCAACCAAATTTCCCACTGCGCCGCCCCCCCCTCCCCCCTCCTCCTTAGAAAACAGGATCCGCCCTTGCCTATTTTTTCTGGACAATGGAATATTATATGACTGCCGTCAAAACCACTTATGCGAAATGAACAGCGATGCTTCTGCCTTATGAATTTGAAACTGTTTTTCTGTATTAGACTTAACATATGAAAATATAGAAAAATGTTTTTA